TTGTTAGACTACAGTGCTTTTTCCCCCTACTGCTTTCAATGGCAATATATTGTTGACAATCCTAGGGTTAGCAGATAGAACAGCAGCCTGTCATTGCTGTTATCTACTATAGAAAAGGCCTGGTTTTGCTGGGTTGAAATAGCCCTTAAATGCAGGGAGAAAACCTTTGAACTGTTCTGCAGCTGCCAGATTGGATGTATTGTACCTGCACTGAGTGACTCCATATCCATTGGCACCCCTAGGTATGGCCCATGCTATAGTGTATCCCTATGGACGACTGAGAGATTTCTTCTCATTTCTCAGAGTGAGTCTGCCCCACAGCAAGGGGACAAGACAGCTCTATAACTGTCTTCTCAGACTACTCCCCCTTGGCTTCAAACTGTATTGACTGCAAAGCTATAAAATGGTTAACGATGCCTAGTGACTGAAGATGGTGCAGCAGGTTTCAGACACATGTGGCATTTACCGTATTTTTTGCTTTATAAGACGCACTTTTCCCCCCCTCAAAAGTAAGGGGAAATGTCTGTGCATCTTATAGAGCGAATGTGTGTGTGCCCGACGCCTGGGACCCTGCCAGCCCGCCTGTACCACATGGCACCACCTGGCCGGCATGTGCTTGGCACGCACTGCTCCACCCCCCCCCCCGGCACAGGTGAGAGCTGTGCCGCTCAGGGCGAGCGGTGTGGAGGAGGAGGAGCCGTGGGCTTTAACCCGCTGCCCGCATGGAGAGACAGACTGCTCACCCCCACTGCCCAGGAAGACCTGCCGCCATGCCGCCTGGAAGACCACCGCCGGCACGCTGCTGGCCCGGCTGCACCACACCTGGCCGGCACGTGCTCGGCACGCCCTGCTCCGCCCCCCTCCTCCAGCGCAGGTGAGAGCTGTTAATCACAGGTTGGTGTGTGTTTTCAAATGGCAACCCATCTTTTAATGAAGCCCATGGGGAAGTGATGGGGAATATGCCTGTGATTATCAGGAAGCTTTCCATGGATCCCTCCTCTAAAAACTAGGTGCGTCTTATGGTCAGGTGCGTTTTATAGAGCAAAAAATACATTAAATGAATTAAAATGGATGAATCCACTTTAAAAAAACAACAACAAATAATCCAAGGTGCACAATCCTAGGATCTCTTTAGTATGCATTCAAAGTTTAAGGTATCAAGGTGTCTTGTTGCTATGGCACTGAGAGGATTTTTTTATGAACACAGATAAATTTATGTAGCTCAGTATATGCTCCTGCTCCAAGAAGCATACAATATAAATTCCTCACAGCTAAATAACAAAGAAAGGCTAGAAAAGGGTAATTAGCAAGAGAGTATGTACTTATTTTAGTGTATAACTTTAGTTCTAGTTATACACATGCTAGTCGCAGAGCATCCTGGGCTTGGCTCCCTGAGTCTGAGCTTCTGATGAAGATGCCCAGCATTTGTGGGGCAACTCCCAAGAATCAAGGCCCATGTGCTGTGCAACTAAGAGGGCTGCTTTCCAGGAAAGCCCCTCACAATCACTGTGCAAGCAGTGCCCCTCTTCTGTGAGAGCTGCAGTCACATTTTGGGCAGCTGCAGCTGATGCAAAAGAAGGCTGGGGTTGTGCAACCAGGGGTCTGTGAATGTTCACAGACTTCCTCTTGGCTCAGATTGCTTTGGAAGATCAGCCCAAGTACAAGAGGAAGCCCAGGAATGCTTTTGATGTAACTGCTTTTTCTACCTAGGCTATAACTGAAGAAATATCAGAGTCAATATTACAAAGTCCTGTAAGAACATATAGAGCTGAGATGATATTGCAGAGGGTTGCTCACAGGCAGTGAGGTCATGTCTACACTAGATAATAAAATCAGCTCGAAACCCAGGATAGCTTACTTCGCTTCCAACTCTGGCCAGTTCTTTCAAAGGGTCTAGAGACCACTAACCCATGTCATCACCATCCAAAATTTCATTTGCTAGGTTTCTTTGTGAAAAATCATGAGAGTTAGATCAGTTGTAAATGGGCTGAAATGATTAGGGAAGAATTCCTAAGCAAACTTTTCAAAGAAGAGCAGTGGTAGATATCTAAAATTCTTAAGCTCAGCTTTATAACTTGAAAGGTTACAAGGATCATCCAATGTGATGCTAGACTGTCAAATTTTAAAATCGCAGGAAAATATATTACACTATACTAGCAAGAAAATCTCTGACTGCCAGTTTTGTTATGTGAATCATGGGGTGAAATGCCAAGCTGCTACCAAGCAGGTGGGGATATTCGTATTCAATTACACAGAACTCAGCTATCTGCAAGAGCGCAATATTCATCACAAGTTATGCCCCAACCAAATCAAACTAAAGAAATTCTGCAAGAGCAAAAACAGTTTTACAACACAGCCTTATACACCTACTCAAACTATTTTCAATGGTGCTTATTTCTAGATTAGAGATGTATAGGAATATAGTCTTAATTGCCTAATTACTGTTAAGTTGTAACAAAAGACACAAGGCACATGTGTTTGCAAATCCTTCCCCCATCTCTCTCGCACACACACATAATTCTTGTGCATGTTAGCAATACTAATCATTATCCTCATCATTGTATAATAAATACAAAAGCCACAATGGTTTACTAAAATCAGCAATTTAACCGTAATAGCATAATGGGGCACAGGGTAAGCTATGCCTATTATTTAATCTTACATAAACAACCTGTTCTGAAAAAAGGCAGATTAGAGATAAATCAATAATAATGGGAAAAACTGGCATTTGAAAGCATTATTTTGAATTGTTTACACATTCTAAAAATAAATGCCATATAGTATTTTGAATTGCTTACTGGAATCCAAGCTATGATTGGCAGAAATTGCATATTTTATTGGGCAGAATTTAATTGCAGTAAAAAAGAGGTATGGATTCTTAGAGGAAGCCAGCTGAATTGTTAAGAATGCTATTTGCAAGAAAACATTTCTTTACAGCTCATCTGTAGGAGGGTAACAGGCGCCCTAAATGGCTTTCCTGAAGCTCAACAACAGGTCTCAAAACTCCTACCTACCCCCTCTGCAAACCTCCTTCCTAAGCACTTCACAATACATCCACCTAATACAAAAAGAATGAGGTAAAAATAGCCCTAGCCCATGCAGAGCTGAACAACAGTTCAAGCTAAACGAAAAATAAGCCTAAGATTCATGCATGCCCTATTCAGGGAATATCATAAAAAAGTGCATCTGGTTGTTCACATTTTTGTGTTGCTCTGGAGCTTCAGTCATGGGCCTGGCTTGCACGTAAGACTAACCAGTAGCATTACGTATGTTGAGCAGGAATGTGCCCTTCGAAAGCATCAAGTTGAGCACTACTTGTCCTTGCCATTCCTCCTGCACAGCTGAGAGGTGGAACAACCCAAAATTTAGCTACACTTTAACAGATTCCTGGCTTGTTCTTATGTATGAACCCAGAATAGTGGTTTAAACAAAACTCCAGTCAGTTGTTAAACAAGGGAACCTCAAACCCTGGACTGTTTTTCTGGTTTGCTTTGCAACTGACTAGAGTTTCTTTAAAACCACAATTCCTCGTTTGCATATAATAGCCTGCCAGAAATTTGGTCAAGTGAAGTTATTACTATTTGTGGTCATAGAAGAGTGGGAAGCACAGCAGCCCTGTGCTTTGTATGGGCTCAGCCATTCTTGGGTATCTGCAAACCAGCCCATTATCTAAAAGGCACAACTGTAACAAAGTGGCCACACTGTTAAAAGATATAAAGAGGTCATGAATCCTTGTAATTTGCTGAAATATTTTTGGCATAGCATCGATACAACAAAGCCGTGGAAAAAAGACTACAACAAAAGATTATTTTTATTAATGTAACCGCTGTATAATTTGGTTGCTTGGTGTCTCAAATCATCAGCCATTTAAAAACATGACTCAATGCCCAGCCTTGAGGCTGCAGAAAGAGAAGCAAGATTCACAGCGAGAGTCAAAAGGCCTGGTTCAAATGCACAATTAAAATGCCTTATAGTTTGGCAATTTAAAAAATGTTGTGCTTACTTTTCAAACTTCCTGATAATGAAATAACTATATTACTTGTAGAATAAACATAAGTATTCTGAACACAGACTTCTGGAGTAGAGCAGAGAAAAAGAACACATTTGTATAGAGAACATGAATCCCAAAGCCTAGATGATCAGTTATTGAGCATAAATCATAGCTTTACAGGCTTCTGCAAGAATTTCCATGTTCATGGTATCCTTTGCTCCAGAAAAAAGTTTCATGTTGCTGATTTATATTAAGTTACTTGTATCATTTTGTTCAAAACATTAGTGATTACTGAACACAGCCTCACAGATTATGCTAAGTTTGTTGAGCTACAATATTATGATAAAACCTTTTAAATCAAGAAGTAAGCCTCTTCTGGCACCCTTTAGATAAAAATAAAATATTATGGACTAAACAGGGTGGCATATAAATATAATAAATGAATAAACAAACAAACCACACATGTAATATAGCCTGAGAAAGTTTATGCCATGATATTGTTAGTCTTTGAATGCCGGAATATTCTTTTGTTGTTTTTGCTACAATTAGACCAACATGGCCACTACTCTGGAAACTTCTACAGTTAATGAAGACTAGGGCCCTTTCCATGATCTGGAACAATGGTTCTTTGCATTTCTAGTTTATATTTTTCATCTTTTAAAAAAGTATATCAATTTGTTAAGCATGTATTGCTCAGAAAGCATAATTTCTGAATGTAGTTGATACAGTATCATAAAATCTTAAACAAAGTAGATACGTATTTGAATTCTTTATGCATTTGGCACAGTGTCTTCTGAAATGGATTATAAGGACTGTGCTCTATTCCCTTCATATAATTCAAAGATAAGAGGTGCTGAAGAAGCAGTTCCTGCTGAAGGGAAAACTTGATGATGGTAATTATCTTTTTCATATACTTTGTAAGTGAAGAGCAAGATATATTCATCTTACTGTGTGCTTCTTCTAAAGCCATGACCATATAAGTAATTTAAATAAATGCCACAACACATACCCATCTTTTGTCTGATCCACGACACCTCCCAGCAGCTGGACTGTGTTGGGATTAGGCACCCCTTCTCCTGTTATCTTCAGGAACCGTGTGACAAAGTCATTGGGGGACATGTAAAATTCACCATTTTTTTCAACACTTGCATACTGTTGAAAAAGAAAAGAGGAATTTGGTTCTTAAATTATAAGACAACAAAAAATCATCACTCCCAGGATAATTTACTATGCATCAGTAATTAGGAACAATTATGTGAAATAACCAGGCATGCACCTACCACTACAGAAGCAGAACTGCACGTACAGCCTGCATAGTGTCTCCTAATGTACCATCATCTGGATGACCAGAATTCTATCTCATGCATGGTTTCCCTTCTCTTATCCTGTTTAGGATAGTTTGCCATGACATCAAAATTGTTCAAGTGTGGGTAGCATCTGACTTCCAAATACAGATGAGAACCCATGGCTTGAAGCAGGTGTCCTTATTCCTACCTGGAATCAAGTCAAGCTAAGTTTATTTCTGCACTCTTTCTTCTTCTGCACTTATTTCTGCACTGCTCTCAAAGCAGGTTCAGTTCATGACAAATACAAACATTTAAGTTCATTAAAAATAAATTAAAAACTAAACAAAAATCAAAACCCTCAATCAATACATACTAAAATTATAACCACAATAAAATAAATTAAGAAGTAAAAATTGTATTTTATCAGAACAAACTAATGTTTTTGCTTATTATATTTATAACCTGCCTTTTTTCCTTTCGGGGAACTCAAAGCAGCCTACATAATTCTCCTCCTCCTCGCAATCATATCCTCACAACATCACCTCTGTGAAGTACATTGGATTGAGAGTCTGTGCTTGCCCAAAAGTGACCTGGTTAGCTCCATGGTCAAAGTTACCCAGGTCCAATCCAGAAGAAGGGCGTACTTACCAGTGGCTTATTTCTGATAGTCTGAACTCCAAGTTTCAGAAAATAGGCTCAGTGCAGATCTCCTAACTTGTTCTGAAGAATCATCTAAACTGAACCTGTTTTCTACGAACCGTAATGTCTTGCTTAGTGCCACAAGCAAATGCCAGTAGAACAGCTTGTGAAACATGAAGTATGGTAACTTTCTCTCACATGAACTTAACAAATGAATGGTTGTGCCCACTGATAAGTATGTCTACTTAACTGCCATGTGCAAAACATTAGCGTTGCAAGACTCTGGCAACATTTTTCAGATTCTCCCTTCTTTTTACTCCCAAATATATACCACTTGGGAGTAAAAGTAGAAAGGAAACAGAAGTGAAAGCAGAAGTAAAACAAATTTTATGTGAAGACTAAAATTACTCCAGAAAAGGAAGAAAGCAATATGAAGAGCAGTAATAAAAATGCCCTCAATATGTTATACTGGCCTAAACCCAAGAAATCATATAGTATTATGCTGGAAGGAGATGGGGGAGGGAAGCACACAATACATTTGGCATTTCAATTTTTTCCTCTGAGTAGCAGGCTAAATAAAAAGAAAGGAAAAATAGCGGGGGGAAAGAAAGAGACCATGCGCACCTCTGAATTTAAAAAACACGGCTACTACAGGGCATGGTAGGCAATTCAATCATCCAGCTTAGCATCACAGGCATCCATGGGCATTAAGAAAAGGAATTCAGTGGTTCAAATGATAAAGAACGTGGCACTGCCAAGTAAATGGTTTAGCATTAGGTAATATTCCAGCATTTTCTCTTCAAGTAATTTAATTAGTATTATTTTATGGTGGGCAGGGGGAGAACTTACTGTACCTTTTTATGCAGTGGTACCCAATACTTACTAATTGCTGAATTGTAATCTTGCCCATGAATTTGCAGAGTAGGGTTATCAGCTTACTTTAAAGATCCAGGAACTGTATTTGTGTGAGTAAAAGTGACCTTGCAGAAGAGGTCTCTCTGCTCATTTGGGAATCCTTCAGACACACACACCATAGCTCATTCCACTCAGCAAGATCTCCTGACTCTCTGTGTGGTCTTTTCAGAGGGCTAAAGGGGCTGCTGTGGAAAGGAGAGGGCAGGGAAGGCTGCATCCACAAGCAAGCATCTGAATCCAACCTCATATCTTTGATCTTTCAAAGTATGGCCTAAAGTTTATTACAGGCCTTTGTGACTTGCCTGGCTTTATATATGGTGCAGTTATATGAAAGGCTTTTAGAGCAGATAGGCCAGGATCCAGAACAACATGACTATCTTTGCTAAGAGAGCCACTGGATTGCATTTATCTAACAGGAACCCCTTCTTTTTCTCCATGTCATAAGACATTATCTTTCAAACAGAGAGCAGTCTCAAAAAGGATAGTGGCATTCAATTCCAGAGGAAATTTGTTTCTTTAAGAAAAATAAAAGCCCGCTGGCTAGACTCCAACTCTTGAGGGCAACTAAAGTATTTTTCTGGATCCTGGCCATATTTTAAGTATTAATAAGGGAGACTTCCCACTCCTTACATCCATCCATCCTTTTCAAAGGCACAATTCTGAGGTCAGTAAGGAGCAGATAAGAGAGTAAGGGGGGTTGCAAATGCACATAAAACTACAAGCAACTTGGGTGGTGGGTGAAAGGGCATTAAAATGCAGTTGTAAATAAATTACAGGCACACATATGTCACCATGTGTCAGCTTAAAAAGAAAGATCTCTTATCACAGTAAGGAACATGTTCTGAACAGGAAAGACAAATTCCTAATTATTGTGGTATGTTTCTTTTCTGAGATAGTCTGATAAACATTTGCTATGATTCTCTACAGAACATTACCCATGCTGAATAACAAATATGTTAGGTGTCTACTACAATTTTGCAACGGCCTTTAAAGACTGAGGCTTTGTTTTATGTTGCAATGACTCTTACAAGCAAAGCCTGCTGCCAGTTCCCATTTATAAAGCCACAGTTGCTCCTGACAAGTGCCCTTGCATCCTCTGTAAACGTATATGCCTTGGTTTCCTTCTGAAAGTTAAATACACATTTGGGGAAGGGAGGGTTAGCTGTCTAGATGTAAGGATTATACAAACACAGGTAAAGCAATTTGCTTCAGACAAGTGCTTTACAGAAGTAAAACCAAAACAGAAAAATATATACATGAAACATTTAACAATATTGTATCTACATAATTTGTAATTTTTGCTTCAATTTAACTGTTTTACAAAATTATCACAACAAAACACATTATAACAATAAATCAAAATCAGCAAACAATCACACAATTAAAAACAATTTAAAAACAGTAGCAACATAGAATCATCAGCCTATTTAGTATATCACAAAGAAATTCCAGCTGCACTCTTTTTATAAACTAGCACACAGACCAATCGATTTCAATGTAATCGTTTGCTGGAGAATCTTTCTAAGTCTTAGGCTTGAAAACTTTTTAACACAACAGTTATCGAGAAACAAATCAAATAAGTCAGCCATTCTGCACTTCTACATTTCATTTTTTTCCCTAGGCTAGCCCCCCTGCTAAGACATTCAATAATAGAAAGCAGCACAAGGTTTTGGTGTCCCTCTGTTTCTACCCACAGTGATTTATTCTTGTGTATTTGAAATCCAATCACGTACCCCCCACACTACATATAGAAAATGACCTTGAAAATGTCAGCTTGCTCATTTTGACTGAAGTCTAATCTCTTAGGTTATGGTAGGAGAGTTACAAGAAGTAGAGTTACTCTGGAAAATTATCATGACAAAAGAGGGGGGGAAACATCAATTCTATTAGTTTGGGAATAAAGAATTTCAAAAAGGTGGCTCTATGCAGTCATGTATTTTTCCCCCACTTTGGTAATTATACCTACAGAGAATTTGATATTACACAATAATGCCTAATGGCTTTTTGGTAAGTTCCTTCAAAATTCACACTGGATAATCATATATTTTAAATACTCAAGCATTAACTAGCTGAAACCCATTTAAGCCTTAGCAAATACAACAGAAGATTTTTTTTAAAAACCCACATTGAGTAAAGTATCTCTGAAGCAAATAATATGTAACCAAGGAATCTCACAATGATTACAATGTGTTTAACTTAAATGGGAAATTAAGTGATAAAATGCTATTCTACTTTTGTTTTATTTTGGCTTTCTTGCATTTTTAAAAGAAATGTAGGTTGCAATCCTATACACACTTACCTGAACATTATGCCTTAATCAATTCCATAGGATTTAACTTTAAGGAAACATGTACCAGATTATGCTGTTAATTGTCAATCTCGGCTAACCTGTGCTGTAACTGCGAATTTGAAAAAAAGATGCTCTAGAAATAAACTATATTATTTGGCAACGCAGTGGTACAGCACATGGCTTGCATCCAGAAGATTTCAGGCTACATCTGTGACGTATCCACGTAGGGGTAAGAAATAATCATTTTGGAATGCTGATGGTGGTTAGTGTCAACAGTATTGGAGTAGATGGGCCAAAGGTCTAACTTGGGATAAGAAAGTTTTCTTAACATGAATGAGTTGCATGCTGTTCTCCCTTACTTGAGTCCTCATTCGAGCATACTCAGCTGGAAAAACTAGGAACGGCCTGTTTAGTGTGTTGACTGAACAAGGGATCTTGCCTTATTGCTCCCTTTACAAGCAAGAATCATGAGCCAGGGTTTTCTTGGAGTACAAATCCTGGCTTGTTTGACAGCAACAAGAAAACACCTCCTTTAGAAGACAAAGAATTCCTGATTTCTCTAGCCAGTTGTGCAGGTAGAACTGAATAACAGCATACAACTGACTCACATTAAGTTTCTTCGGAACTATGGCTTATGGTTCCATTTGAAAAAGGCAATAAACTGTTTTTGCAAATGCTTTAAACTAAATCAAAAGTAAAAAATGATTCAACTATATTCATAAATATGTTTGAGGTTTATATTTGTAGGCCATCCTTCTAACAAGACTAGTGCAGCAACCAGAAGTCTCTCATCTAGGAATCAGTGACAACCAATCCTGCTTAGCTTCAGGAACTGGAACACACCATTCATTACGGCATGTGGTAAGGCTGTAAAGTAGCATAACATATTGTGCAAATATAAGTTTAGTGTAAGCTTTCACCTCCCAATTTGTACAAGTTCATAGCCAGTGACTATGCTCAAATAAAAGCTAATCACCTTTCCCTCTCATTTTCTGGCACATCAAAAAGGAGACTGGGAGCTTCCACTTCAATTTTAAAATCAAATTATAAATTGTAGTTATTCTTGACTATAAGTGATAACAATCAGCTTCATAAACTATGATTAGAAGTTGTCTTCGTTTCCTCTAAACATAGTTAAGACTAACCATGGTTTCAATGGTTCCAATGAACTAGCAAGCTGCAGTTAAACAGAATCAGAAGCTTCTGAACTTCACATGATCTCCTCAGAGACTTCCTTAATCTGTTTCCCTCCAGATATATTGGACTACAAACTACATGATCCTTAGTGGCCTTTGTTATAGGGATGATGGGGGTTGTAGTCCAACACATATGGAGGGCATAAGGTTGGAGGATGGTGATCTAACATTATGTCTGAACCAGCCCACTGCTTTGTCCTTCTAGCACTGGCCAATCTGAAACAGATGAGCAATAGATTTCTTGTTTCAAATTAGTTACCATTTTTTTCTTAATTTCAAATTTTATAAATAAATAAATAAATAACATTTCACAAGCATTTGGAACAACTACTTCTTTTGTGGTAATTTCAGAAGTCCAAACTATATAATGCTCACTAAGCATCCGTTTGGATGTGAACACCACTCACAAACCTCCAAACATTCAACGGATCCTTTTCTCCAAGTACAAGCAAATCCCAGCTAGCAGTTTCAAGTAAACCTTATCTTCCCAAATGATTAAATTTTTGAATTACTGTGTTAATGCCTAACCACTTCCCACCCATTTTCTTTGGTTTGCAGACCCTTCTTCACCAGAGAAGGAAGCAACTACAATAAAATAAGTGCAAAATAAAGTCCATAATATCAACTTGTTTTGCTTAGCTGGCTAAATAATAGGAGACAAAATAGAAGACTCATACAAAGGTGGTACACAAGGTTACTTCCAAACATAAGGCTTTCAGAACACAATCTAGCCATCACAAGCAAATGTAGGATTGTGTGCCTTCTATTTCACTCTTGAAATCTCCCTCTCATTCTTAGCCTTAGTTTGGTGTGTGCTTGGTCATGTTAGCCATGCTTAAGAGCACTTCCAAACTCTGATTTGGAAACCAGGTTTCTGAGTAATAGCTTAGGAGTACACTTAGTAGAACTAATTTTCATTCTGTTCCAACAGTATTCCAGCTGCAGTGTTAGACTGCAACTCCTTCCATCCCAGACAGCATGGCCAACCCAGAGGGTATCAGGTTGGAGAAAGCTATTCTGTTCACTTTCTTACAGAGGGATGGTGATTTAAGCTTCAACAAGTAGACCCGTGCAGTCCAAAGTGTACTGGTGGGTAAATTCTAATAAAAATGGTTATGTATTGCTAGTCTTTAGATCCTCTAAAGGAGTCGTTTTTCCTTTACTTTGTTCAAAATATTGGAATTTCTGTTCTATTCGAGGGGGGGGAGTCATTTTAGTTATATTTCCCTGAGTCTATACAATAATCACTCAAGAACATATTTGACTTCTTTGGAGAGCATTGTTCAATTTTTGATAGTGGTATTTAAATATAACATGGTAATAATATAGTGAATGATTAATGGTTAGAAGACTATCAAGAGATGAATAATGCAATAAGAACTGAAGAAATGAAAAATCCAGACTTTAAAGAATAAAATATTTACTTTTAACATACCTTTAAAAATATTGTTTTCAACTCAGTTGGATCAGCTCTCTTGGTTAGAGCCACCTACAAGTAAATACAGTTATATTAATATGCATAGTCTATACAAAGGATGTCAAAATGTCATAAAAAGAATAATTCAAAGAGAATAATGAACAATGAAAAATAAATGTTCCCCTCAAATTATGCAGTGGTTATGTGAGAAATAGTTGCTTAATAGTTACACATGGTTATTCAATGTTTTTGCTGCAAGTGTTCCCCTGGATAGTCTGACAAAACTTAAATAAGTGCACCCAAGCTGGGGGCGGGGGGATGTTCTGCACACACAGTGCCACAAACACCTGAACTGGATTCCATTTCTATAACCAGAGTGATCAATCCTGGATGGACAGGATACGCAGTGCTGCTTTCAACAAAATTACAGTAGAGCAATTTAAAACATAAATTATTTAATACTAAATTAGCTATACTTGCTTCCCCCTGGTAGTTACAAGCAATAATAAAATAAGTCTTTCATTTCTTTTTGAAAAATGCTAAGGCTTGGTAAATCTCCAGCAAGGTAAACTCCACAGCTGTAAGGCACCCATCAACAATTACTCTTTGTGTTCCCTTGTTCAAATTACAGCAGAAATGATATAAACTTGAAAATAACTATTGGATGAACATAAACATCATGATGGAGAACAAGAGAGGATGGTGCATCTGCCAGTAGTAGTGGAACCCTAGACTTGGTTCCCATCAAATGTTAGTCTCGTTTTGCAAATTGCTACTGCCCTGGAACGTGCAGTGACTACACCTGCAGTGAAGTGTAATAATCGCCCTGCTTCTATAGTTTGGCTATAGAACTGCTTCTCTAGTTCCAAGCTTCATTTAAGGAGCTTGGAAAACAAAGTACAAGTATAGCTGCTGCTACATATACTGCTATCTTCTTTATAGGTGTAAATGAGCACAATTTAGTGGTTGTTTAGGAAATATATGAAAGCCGCATTGGGGGTCACAGGGAGCAAGAAATGTTCCCCCATCCCAGTGACTCCAATGGTAGCCATCACTTTCAGATTGTCATTAGGGGAACACTGGTTGCACTGGGATCATTGGGCAATGGGAGGAAGAGGCTTTTCCCCTTCTCAGAAACTCCAACAAGCACCATTGTTTCTTACTGACATTAGACCTCTGGAAACAGCAGTGCTGATCAGCAGTGCATGGCAAGTGCAATAACAGTTATTGAGGAACAATAACTGAATCCTGGGAGTTGCACGTGAACTAAGCATTGTGTGGCCCAGCTTTAAATTAATTACATTCTGGCACGCTGTTCCTCCAGCTGAGGAAGCACAGTATTCCATCTTGTGAGCTGGTGACATTGGATAAAACCAGAGAATAACAAATGAATTTGTACCTGATTTTAGGAAGCTGAAGGCTGCAGTCCCATTCACAGTTATTATCAAGGCAACCACACTGTATTCAGTGACATTAACTAAGAAAATATGTGCAGGATTAGGCAGCATGCTGCTTAGCCCTATCTACACAATGTTCACGCTATTTCAACTATGCAACAGGAGATCTATGTGCCTACCCAGTTTGTTTGGTCAGATGTGCAAACTGTAGTGCCATAGGCCTAACCTAACCCTGGCCTAACCTTACCCTGTTGCACTCCCGTAATATAGGCCCTAATAAAGGCCAAAGTTCAACAGAAAAGAGGGCGATTTTGAAACAGCCTTCCCTGAGCAGCTTTTTCTGCACATCTCAAAATTTCTGCTCATTCTGACCACATTCCAACCATCAAAATCATACCAGGACATCTCATTTTTCTAACCCTGCCCCTACCCTGGTGCACACCCCTAATCCTCATAGAGGGCAAAAGATCCATTAATAAGAGGGCGATTTTGAAAAAGCCTTCCTTGAGCAGCTTTTTCTCCACAGCTCAACCTTTCTGCCCATTCTCAGCACATTCCAAGCATCAAAACCATGCCAGGACAACCATCAAAATCATACCAGGACATCTCATTTTTCTAACCCTAACCCTACCCTGGTGCACACCCCTAACCCTAATATAGGGCTAAAATACCATTGAAAATAATGCGATTTTGAAAAAGCCTTCCTTGAGTAGCTGTTTCTGTGCAGCTCAACCTTTCTGCCCATTCTAAACACATTCCAACCATCAAAACCCTGCCAGGACACCTCGTTTTTGTAACCCTAACCCTACCCTGGTGCACACTCCTAACCCTAATATAGGGGTAAAGTACCATTGAAATTAATGTGATTTTGAAAAAGCCTTCCTTGAGTAGCTTTTTCTGCACAGCTCAACCTTTCTGCCCATTCTCAGCACATTCCAACCACCAAAATCATGCCAGGACATCTTGTTATTGTAACCCTAACCCTACCCTGGTGCACACCCCTAACCCTAATATAGGGGTAAAATACCATTGAAAATAATGCGATTTTGAAAAAGCCTTCCTTGTGTAGTTTTTTCTCCACAGCTCATCATTTCTGCCCACATTCCAACCATCAAAATTATGCCAGAACACCTTGTTTTTATAACCCTAACCCTGTGTTCATGAACCTTTTAGAGAGCGAGTGCCCAAACTGCAACCCAAAACCCAATTATCCAGCACAAAGTGCCAACACTGCAATAAACCTGACAATTGAGGTTTCAGTTTAGGAAAAATAACTCACAGCCAGTTAAGTAAATATATATATATGTCCTTGGCAGTGGACTGACCAGCCATGTGAAAGCTCGGACGAGTGAAGGCTAATGAATCACAGCTGGTGATGTCATCGCCTCGCATCACTACTCCTTTCCGAGCATGCGCATGGCCCCTATGTACGCTGTTATCCGCTGCTCGGCTGCTGGGGAGATGCTGTGGTGACTTGGTTCGTGCGCCGACAGAGGGGCTCTGTGTGCCTGCTGTGGCACATGTGCCGTAAGTTCGCCATCACTGATCTAGAGAGTGGAATGTTATCCTGTTGCCATAAACACACATTATTTAAAAAAAGGGTATTCTGCTGTCTGTTTTAAGAAGCACACATAATTGCCAAGCTGTCCTTTTGAGAATATGGCCTCTTCTATCTTAGTAACAAATTGGTACAACACTTTCTGGAGTGGAAACATGTTAACATGTATGTATGTATACATAAAACAAGACAACACTACATGGCTGCATGGGAAACTCAGACAATTACACTGATTCTCAAAGAAAAACATCAAATTCAGACCATGTTCTTTTGCTTTAGTTCATGCCTCTTATTACAACTACAAACTGTACAGCAGAAGACATTAATGCATTAGGAAAGATACACATACTTTTGGTCTACTTACTTGATGCTAGCTCTTTGGGGGTTAATGATGTTTGGCAGTTTTTTCTCTTCTAAAACTCACCAAACGGCATGAGCAATTGTGGGGTAGATGGCCTGAAAATATGTGTTATCCAGGTGTACATGCTGTCCTAAGTGTCATAATCTTGTGCTAAGACAGTTATTTGCTCAAGAGCCCATTCACAAGGCTTTGTGCTCTCTGTGGTATACTGGACATAAATTCGATTCTGCAACAATCTTTGACCCCCCTCCCCAATACAAAAAGTATTTGGCTTTCTACCCCCCGTTCATTACCCAAAAAGGAACACACAACACATTGGACTCTAGCATCCTGCTGAACATTAACTTTTCCGTATGGAATGGGTTCACACTCCCTATAAATATAATTTTGAAAAATACAAGAACAGAGTGGAAGAGTAAGGTGAAGACAAATCACTAGGTAGCATAAAGAAAAATAATTAACAAAGTGGACATGATCCTGTCTGCGAGATGCTTGTGACCAGAAGAAATTGAGTTCAAGTTAACCAAGTCTGAGAAAGGGATACATGAGAATTCTGTTTGGTCATCATTTCGAAGCCAATAGACTTGATCTACATCACCCATACTAATAGACAAACTGGAAAAAAGTTATCCTTTTGGATTTTGCACTTCTCTGAATTTAATAACACACTTCTTCCCTCAAAAAACTATCAAATTGTGGTTTTTTGGATAAAGTTCATACTTATGTTCAAAATAGGTTTATACTTATGTTCAAAATAATATTTAAGACCCTGTCTAAATATGATCTTGACGCAGCCTTTTTAAAATCACAAACTGATGCAGGAAAACAAGTAAATGGCCTTATGAATAAATATATGCAAAACTTACACAGTTCAAAAAAAGAATGATCCCTCTATTCTTAGTCTGCACTCAACTGAGCTTATTTCAACATTAACAAAACATTTCTACAGCAGACTGGTCTTTAAATTGTCTTTTATACAGAAACTTGAAAAATCTAACACTATGCCCTTAACATATTGGCAAGTGGTATATACTACAAGGAATTCATTTTGCATATAAATCTTCATGTAGCTAACACAGCATCATTCATACACAAGAGGGAGATATCAGCGGCTTTGGATGACCTCAAGTTTTCAAGCAATGCAATCAATTCTCTATTGGGGAAACTCCCAATAAAGCCCAATGCTCAGTGGGCAAAGAATGCTGACTGGAGTGCAGGTGGAGGGAGAACAGAAATCCAGGAAGAAAGGAGAAAGGAATAAAGTAGCCTGGAAAAGGTCGTGGGGCAGCTGGTATAATGAACCAGTCCACACACCCTTTCATTGTGACCCTCTTGTATGTTTTCTAAATTCATGTTACAATACGCATCTGTTTTCAACATACACATTCCGCTTTTTTTTAAAACTTATTTCACTGTGGACATTATTTTTCAACAAGCGGATATGGAAAGCTCATCTTCCCACTCTCGGCTTCAGCATCTTCTATTTAGCCCCCAGGACACGTGGCTACCAGCATCTTCCCTGGACGGATAGCCCCTGTGCTTTTTCAGCACTGTCAGAATCCAAGACCCTTGATTGTCGTACAGAGAGATGAACTGATATACCGAGAACGGCATGTCACAAAATGCAATCAGCAGGTTTACAAGCAGAATATAGACAAGTGTCCTGTATTCCAAATTGTCTGATCAGATAGAGAAACATGATAGATAAAAGATAACAGTGATGAAGATGCTACGTCCAGCTAGTAGCAACCACCAT